CTCCCTCCCCGTCCCCGGTGCTCACTCTCCACTTGCCTGGCTCTGCCCTCCCCCTATACCTGTCCAGTTCTGTTCTCCACTCTGCCCTCCCCTGCCCGGTGCAGTGCTCTGTGCCTGCTTACGCAGAGGCAGAAGCTTGCTGCAACACCAGAGGGAGGTACAGCGGTGCTCGCCCTGACCCACCCGTTGGCACAGTGTACTGCGAATATTTGAATCCATGAATAGCGGATTCGTGAATAGCGAGGGTTCCCTGTAATGCAGTTATCTTTCATGTAAATTGTAACTTAATTGTACCTCTTGCTTTGTTTTTCTTTTAGACAGCTTATCTTGCTTCTAGATCTGTACAGTGCCAGAGACGTCTATGACTATTTGAGACCTATTGCTGTCAGCCTCTGTGCAGACAAGGTTTCCTCTGTTCGCTGGATTTCCTATAAATTGGTATGAGCTAAAAATATTAATATAAATCTTGTATCTCAAAGTGGTGATGGGAATTATTTTTGTATTTATATATTAATAATATTTCTTATAGGTTAGTGAAATGGTAAAAAAGCTATATATGGCTTCAACACCAACATTTATGGTGGACCTCATGAACGAACTTGTTGAAAAATTCTGTAGATGCCAAAAGTGGTCTGGTCGGCAAACGTTTGTCTTTATTTGCCAGGTAAGAGGCTTGATTTTTTTCGCTTTGGTTGAAGGGGTTAGGGGATGTGTGACTGGCATCCTTTAGGCACCAGCTATAGTTCATACCCACGCCTTTCATCTTCAAGTTCATGGAAATAGTTATCAGAGAGCTCTTTCTCAACCTGGATATTAGATTTCCTACCATCTCTGCTCAGTGCTGCTCTATAGGCAAGTCAGCAGGGGATGCTATAGAAACAAGTCTCTAACTCCCTACCTAAGGAAGTTAGCTGCTTTAATTAACAATAGGCCACAACTTCCACAGTCTCTCTTGCAGTGTGAATTCCATTATAGGGATACCTAAAATTCACCGTCTAAATGCCATCTCTACTTCCTGGTGACTTCAGTGTGTTAAAATGGGGTGTTGAGTATAGGACAAAAATGTGTAGAAAATGTCAGGTAGCATACTTGCTTCTGGGGATCGTTTCATGGAACATCGTGAAGTAAAAGTGTTCGCTAGTCATAGCAATGGTGCTGGCAGCTACTTATCATTTTGCTGGGTGACCCCTTTAGCCAGCAAGAATATACCCAATACTATGTCTGTGCAGCCAGGTAGTACAGGTTGCCTAGATGCTGGCCTAAATATCATCAGCTAAACAGGCAGCAGTTGATGCCAGCTTTGAGCCATAGAGAGGGAACTGAATGCAGGTGAAGCTGGCGTGACCAGTGGTGGCAAAGATGCAGTATTTGGATATTGTTTGGTTAGGTGGGCTCCAGAGGGTGGCTTCCACAGGGTGTTCTCTGAGGCTTGTAGTTTGATTTAGAAGCTTAAATATGGGTATAAGCTGAAATATTTGGTGATATAACACCTGTCTCCTTGATTCTTTGAACCTTTAAGGTGAGAGAACTTTACAGAGTCTCTAAGATGTGTTTTTGCAAGAGGCAGGGTGCCAACTGGTTCTCAATCCTTACTGGGAGACCAGCTAACAGCAGGAGACTTGGTTACTGTCTTGAGTGGTTTTTTTAAAGGACCTAGATGAAGTCAGGATAGGTGTACTTAACATTTGCACGATTTTCTGAAGGTTGGTCTCACACCCAGAACTAAATATTGTTCTGGGTGTTTAAAGTAGGGAGGGGTAGGCAGTTGGCAGCCTGTGTGTAATGGCAACTCCTGAAAATACACTACCATTCCCTTTCTGTGTACTGCCTTGCATTATTCAGTTCTTATCACATCATCTACTTACAGGGAAGACTAAATGTGTAAAAGAGAGGCTAGGTGACAATAACTCTCTGAACTGAGCAAAGCAGTAAAAAATGTTTTATTCCTGATTGCAGGTGAAGTTGTTATAAACTTCTATTAAAATACAACACAATAACAAGTTACCAAATTTATAGTAAAATAACTGACACTGATTGGTAGTACTTTCTAATTGGGCTTGAAGTTCAGAGAGCCATTTTGCATCATAAACTATGACCTCCTGCTTGAATGTTAAATACATTATCACTGTAAAGCACTTAGAGATCTATGAAGAAAAGATAAATAATTTTGTTGATTATTTATTAAGGCACGGGAATTTGCAGTCTGTCTTTGCTGGATCAGTGAAAGCTAATGCAGTATCTTCTTTACTTATAGACTGTCATTGAAGATGACTGCCTCCCTATGGATCAGTTTGCTCTGCACCTACTGCCACATTTACTGCACTTGGCATCTGATAGAGTTCCAAATGTTCGAGTACTCCTTGCAAAGACATTACGGCAAACCCTTTTAGAGAAAGGTTGGTAATCTTGGAGTTAACAAGATATTCAGCAAGAATATTTCTTAATAGATAATGATACATGTCAAGGGTGACTTGAATAGTTCCTATATTTCCCTTTGCCATAATTTTGCTGTAGCCAGGTGGCGAAAATGGCACTAGTGTAAGAAATCAGTTCTGCCATTGTACTCTCCTAAGCTACCTCTGGGTAGTTCAGACTAACCCTCCTGGTCCTGATAGTACCTCAAGATGGATTGCAGCATCAGAAGTTCTTAGCTACTTTGTGATGTAGGAGAACATGAAGGCTTCTTCCTGTGTCCTCCCTTAACTCTTCCCTTCTCCCCTCCTCCGCCTGCATTTTCCTTAAATGGGCTAGTTTTAGGAACTGCCAATGTCCATAGCCAGAGGTTCCCAACCACCAGGCTGTGGTCTGGTACTGGGTCGCAGCTGGGTTGTCGTTTCTGCTGCCAGCAGTCACATGTGATGTTAAAGCTGGGCAGTGGGGCAGCCCCGGGAGGGAGGCAGCTGCCTCTGTGCACCCTGTCCTGCTCTCACCACCATGGTTGTGCCTGGCAAGGTGCTGTCTGCGCAGCAGGTACTGAGGCCCGTGCCAGGCCGAGCAGGAACCCCCAGCCCCACCTGTGGCTGGGAATGGGAGGATGTGGTCGGGAAAATACCTGGGATGGAAAGCGGGGCGGCGGCTCCACTGCTTGCTCCTAGGAAAGGCAGCAAAGCCCCTTCTTCCTAGGCAGCCCCAGCTGGATCTCCCCAGGCCACTGCCTGTACAGCCCCCTCCCCTGCAGCGTCCCCTGGTGCCCGTGGCTGCAGTGCCCCAACCTGATCCTCGCAACCCCCCCCACATAATAATTAGATTTAAATATGCAAATTAGATAGTTTGCTAGTTTGCAGTATAAACAGGTTGGGACATTGCTTAACCTGAATACTGATGGGGTGCTGACATGATAAAGGCAAATGTTCTGCTCTTCAATCTAAAACTTTGTAAATTGATGCTGTGTGTAATCATGGTGGGAGCTCAGGAGAAATGCTTATATTTGCCAACCCTACCTTGATTGGCTCTCTGGGATAAAGGAGGTGCAGGAGATGGGAAGGAGATTTTTCTAACCTTTCCATAATGGATCTGAATGTGGTGTTTTCAAGCTGCAGACATTGCATAGAGTAGCTACCTCAGTGCAGAGCTATGTTCAGAAAAGCCAACTGTATTAGAATGCTAAAACAATGGGAAGGAAAATAATACCAGCAATATTGTGCTGTTATATGACTTGGAGTGACCTCATCTGGTACTTTGTCCAGCTCCAGTCTCCTCCATCTCAAAATGCTAGAACAGAAATAGAAATCCTTACATGGGTATAAAAAATTTAGGAGAGTATTGTGTGCTGCTTTTCAGGGATTAGGTGCAACTCACATCAGCGAAGCAGTGGCTGCTAACGGAATAAAGCTGTTTAAGGATTAAATGAAAAGAAACAAAACCAACCTGAACTATTTGGGTTTGCTAATATGAAATGTCAGTCTAGCATTGCCCTTTCTGCATTAAACTTTCCTCTGTGAATTACTGGGGCTCTCATGCTTGTTTTATAGTATTGTAGCTTGAATTTACACCACAATATATTTTCACTTTTCATATAAACCTTTTTCTGTATTCTCTGTTACTTAACAGAATATTTTCTGAATTCTGCCAACTCTCATCAAGAAGCTGTCGAACAAACAATTATGGCACTTCAAATGGATGATGACAATGATGTCAAATATTTTGCAAGTATTCACCCTGCCAGTACCAAAATTGCAGATGATGCCATGAGCACAGCTTCATCAACTTATTAAAAAGTTCTTGAATGTTATTAGATTTTAATTAAAAAAAGCAAAACAAAACTATCCTCAAGTGCTCCTGAAATGGATGATCTAGGACAACCTCTTCTGGAGGAGGAGAGATCTCTTGCCAGACCTAACTACAGGTGGATATTATCTAAACCTGATACCAGGGATTTTTTAAGAGTCAAGAAAAATAAACATTACTTATGTTATTTTGACTGTAGAAAACTATTGCTCAGAGGATTATATTTGCCACCGAAGCCTTAAATCTTCTGTCTTCCTGAACACATGAAACTTGAATTGGCAGATCGTTTTCATTGTAGAAGGGATGTGATTTCCAGAGACCTGCATTGTTTCTCCTGAGGAGTTAACTTAGCAAGTTTTTCCCTTAGTAACTGATAGTTGGCAGTCGTACAGCCAGCAAGGCAAATTTATGCCAACATGCAAGACCCTCCAGTATTAGTTATACAAGTTTTTATCCATGCAAGGACTTGATTGTGTGTGACCAGCCACATCCTCAAGCATGAATAGTTTTGATGTGTGTAAATGGAGAAAGGTAGAAATTTGGATTTCTCTCAAGGGCTCAGTGCTAACACTAAACTAGAATCTGATTTTAATCCTTAAATGCAGCATATTGCTGTATCCATTAGCATAAAATTTGCTGAGTACCTGTGTCCTAATTTTCATGCTGGTCATGACCTAAAGGAAATTTATTAGCACATGTACTTTATGTCAGGTATTTTTAACTTGATCATGATCGGCTCTAAGGTGCAACTTCTTTTCTTCATATACTGTACATATCTCTGATCACTCGCTGGAGTGCTGCCGTCTTTAATCATGTTGTTTAAAGCTGTTGTGATACAAGTTGTTCTCTACTTGTCCAAATAAAATTTAATAATAAGATTGAACAAAATCTTGTTACCTTTTTAAGACATTAAAAGAACAAATTTGGAATTAACTGTCTTTTCTTTTCCCAATTCTTACAGTGTGGCAAAAATGCAGTGATTTCTATAACTTGTCTTTTTCCATAGTTTTTTCAGTTTTGAAGATGTGTATTTAGTGAAATCTCAGTATAATAATATAGTATTTACTAACCACTGTATTTACAGAGGTAGTGTAGTAAATTGAGTTAAAAATTGGTAGTTTTTTTTAATTATGTAATTTAGTAAGATGAGAAGTGGTTGCCAAAATTGTCTTTTATTTGGTCTTAGAGGCTTACTGACTCTCCAGTCACCCTCTTGCAGAATGACCTTTTAGCTGAGGACAGTTTGGACACCCACCTTAATCCTGGTTTTTCTCAAGAACCAGGTAAGCCTAACTTCTGTTATTTCGAGCTGAGTAGAGTGTATAGTGTTGGTATAGAAAATTCATCCTGTCTCTGGATGCCTTTCTCTCCTGTCATTAAAAAAAAGTTATTTTGAATGACTGAGGTGACACCTCTCCTGTCTTCCATGGTACCATGGAACTACTACTAACAAGCAGGACTCCCACAGTGGTCTCCCTAAAACCATGGAAAGGCTGTTGCCCTTCCTCATAGTTCATGCACATCTGCTACCTTCATTTTTCAAAAACCATTCTAGACCTGTGGATTCAAAGATCTGTATGCCCCTCCTTTCCGAATCCACTCCCTGTATACCACTCAAACCAGACGCTCATTTGGATGGTCTGTCTCACCTCTTCTTTCAGCCTTGTGAGAGGTGAATTGCTAGTCTCTTCCAGGAACTGACTTTGATAAGAGAAGTCACTTGAGTCCTTTCAGTTATACGATATGGTTATTTCTGAAAGTCACCAGTACCCAAGCTCATACTGCAGAGGGGTGTCCAGAAAGGGAGGGAGCCTTTTCCAGAAGTCATTCAGTATTTAGTTTTTTTGCTTCCTCCTACCGTTCTTATTCAGAGATTCCTAACCATATGCAGGAGAAAGTCTTGGTTTATTCCACTGACCTGAGGGCTTGGTCTGTAAGCCACCTGGAAATCTAGCACACAGCCCCTTTGCTGAACTGAGAGAGTGTTCTTAGGCGAGCACCTCAGCCCCTTTCAGCTTGGGTTGTTGACATGGATGAATAAAGGAGCCTTTTAAAGCAATGGGATTGTAGGGGTAGTTCACATCGCTATCAGAAGTGGAGAAAATATGCTATTTTCTGCAGATGCTGCAGGGTCTAGGAAGTCTGCCAAAGAAAGCATCAGTTCCCTCTCTCTGTATATCTTCCAGCAAGAAAGATGGGTGAAAAGACTTGTGACTGGGCACAGCTAGGGGCATGACATGATCTCTAGGGTAGAATCCAGGTATAGTCCCTAGACTGTGACTTGTCTTGTCTTCAGGTTCCCAAAACAGCATCAGACCTTCCCACTGCCTCTGTGAAACATCAGGGTAGTTCTGCATCAGCAATTAACTGACTTTTGTCCAAGTTTGTCCCTCAGGCTATGTGATCACACTGTTTAACCACTACCCTCTAGTCTAGGCCTCTCCTGTCCTGTCCTGTGGGAGATGTCAAGTGTAGTCCTGATTTCATAGTCCCATTGACATTTCTTTCAGTCATGAAGGTGTCTAGCAAATTTGTTACCGTCTTGGACAATTAAGTTGTATCATCTCATACATACAAGGGCCTTGGTTCTTTGCTTGGGTCTGGCTGCCACTTTTCTTTTAGGAGATAGAAAATGTTTGTATTGCATATGGAAGACGCAAGCCAGGCACTTCCCAGGTTCTGACTAAGTGGATTTTGGTCCTGCTTTCTGCCTTCTGTCTAGAGTAACCAGTTAGCCTCGTCTAACTGAAAGCAATGCATTATACCACTTAGTCAGTAGCCATCTCTAGGACAGAGGGGAGGTGACTTTGTGGCAAAGTATACAAGCCCATCACCTAGTAGCTTATGATGGGATTAATATTCTGCCCTTCCCCATGACTCATGGTAGGTCACTGGTGGATTTATGAATACATTTGCTTGTAGCTTGCTGCTTCTCTCCTCCTGTAGTGATTGTTGTTCAGAGACTATTACCTGTATTGATATCAAGTAAGTATGCACAGAAGGGATAATTTCTGTACCTCTAGTTTCAGTTAACCTAGGGTAGATGCCCAGCCTTCACTCAGTTTTGCTTCAGTTAGCAAGATTTGCACCATTTTCTTATATGAATGGTCTTGAAAGACTAACACAATTTTTCTATTCGAGTTTCAGCCCAGGAGTCTGGGACTAGCTGAGTGGCAAAATCCAAAGCCTGATTTATATTGGTCTTCACCTCTCTTATGCTGACAAGAAAGGTTCACCTTCCAATCCATGTTGCCTTTTCCAGGGTAGCTTTTAGGCAAGAGATTCTCCTTTCCTTTTATGTAAGGCTTACAAATGGCTAAACTGACCTAAACTAAACAGAATATGGAGTAGGGAACAAGCTTTGAAGAATGTTAAGTGTGCACCATTGGTTTTAGATTCTTTCTTGCTTTGAGGCTGAAACCTTTGGGTTTTACTGTCCAGCATTTACATGATTTTGTATTAGCTTTTTAAAATGTTTAAAAATCCCCAAAGTCTTTTATGGTTCTGTTGCTGTGAAGATTGAATGGTGCATCTACTAAACCTGTTGCATTTTTGCAACTATAACAGGAGGGGTTTGGGGGGGCATTTTTTAGACCTTCCAACAGTGATAAGTAGCTCCTTTTTAAAACTCAAGTATCTATTTATGCAGTGTTTCTGTAGGCAAAATATTTTAAAGGACTAACTGAAAAAAGATTTTCATTCATGGACATGGAAAATAAAGTGCTGAACTTGGCTGTCTCACCTGCCTTAAAGGGGCTAACCAAACCAACAATGCAGCCAGTTTGAATATGTGAAGATCAAAAGAAACTTTACATTACTTTTAAAAATCAAAAGTTCGTGTTTTACACAGATGAGGACAAAAAGGTTAAAAAAAAAAACAAAAAACAAAAAACCTTGACTGTGATGGCAAAACAGATTCATATGCCTCCATTATTATCAGATAGGATTTGACACTGCTGCTTTTTGCCACTTTTGAGGATTCATAACCTGTGCCTCCAAGGAAGAAGGGAAGGTGAACAGGGAACTGGGATAAGAGCTTCCCTCTAGAAATTCAAGTTAAGGACAAGTAACCCCCATTCCTTGTAGTGATCTCTGCATGTTCCCATTTGTGCTGCTGAAGGGCAGTAGAAATGTCAGAAGACCCCAGGTGGAAGGACAGGAAACTGGGTGAAACTAAACTGCTGTGCTCACAGAAAAAATGATAAAGGACAGAAACACCTGATAACCAGCATGACAACACTTGTCACAGGACAGCCACTCCCACCTCTGACTTCAGTGTCCTCCTTATCCTTAAAGGATACCTGCACAATATCTTCAGAAAATGGGCCTGAAAATAAACATTTGTAACTATTGGGCACCAGAAACCATGGACTTAAGAAAATGGTTTTATGGTTAATACCAACCAGTTAGAAATAGCACTTCTGAACATCAGTATTGGACCCATGATACCAGTGAATAAAATGGTCAAAGCCTGGTCAGAGCAGAGAGATAATCTTGGATCTGGCCTGAAAGGCTTTGTCTCCAGCAAGAAGGCACTGTCATAAAGTGAACATGTTGCTAGGACACTTAGTGTTATACTGAACTCTGGTTAGAGTCAGCCGAGACATCTTTCATTGGCAGATAAGAAGACACTGACAGATCCTAGAGAGATGCCCACTTGCAGCAACCAAGAATAGGAGGTTTTGCTGGATTGCACCCCTTTCTGGCCACTGGAGTAATTCATCAACGTGTTGTTGACTGTAAGTTTTCAATGTACTTGATTGATTTTAAGGATGAGGACAGCTGTAATGGCTTGGCAGACTGTTCATGGCTCCATTATGTAGAGCAGGAGTAGACAACCCTGGGTTGCCAGTGTGGCATGCAAAGGCATTCTGCTTGGCATGCATGTCTTGGGGAGGAGGCCAAGGCTGTGCTGTCACAAGGATTGGGCCCCTCCACCATCCACCCGTGGCAAACCAACATCTTACAAGTCGAGGTTGCAGGTGTTTTTGGCACTTTGCTCAAAAATGTCCCTGACCTAGAGGGCAAATTCACAAACTCGCTATAGGTTTCACAAACCCAGAAGATAGTGAAGATCAAAATCCATAACCCAGTACATCATGTGGGTGGAATACTGGGCAAAACAGAATGGCCGAGAACCCCTCTGTCCTTTGGCTACAATCTTTCTTTTGTCTTTCACAGCAGAACACCTTGGCTATCTTGAAGTATAATGGTCAAGTGTTCATTGTTAAATTAGTCACTTAAAACCCTTAAAGGTAGAGTGGTTCAAGGCATTGCTCAGTTGTACTGGTGTGGAACCCATCCCCTGGCATTAGATTTGCAGGTTTGGACCACGTCGGAACTGCTTTAAGGAAGGATGAATGTGGCCCTTTCTGTGTTCTAATTTTTATATAAAACAGCATGCATTCACTTATATTCAGGCCAGCAGAGAAGCAGCTACCACAAGATGTAGGTGTACTTGCTGACCTTTTTCAGTATGATTTCAGGGAGTTGCATTAAGAAAAGAATCTGATTGTTGCATCATTTGACAAACCACCTTTCAGTTCAGTTGCCTCTTGCAAAGAAGCAAGAGTTCACATCAAGCTACTTCTCAAGGTACAAACACTTTTTTTATTGCATTAAAAATATTTCTAAAATATTTGACAGCTTTTGTACAGTTGGAGTATTTCAATAAATTAGGAGCGTTAACAGCCTTTAAGTTCCTGTTTCAGATGCATGGAACATCCTCTGCTTAACACTGGCTTTCCTTCCAAATTCACGTGGATTTGGTTGGTGTATTCATAGGGTACGTTGTCCTTTAGCTGACATTTGAAAGCTTCACTTGTAATTGGCTTGCTAATTGGTGAACTATTCCTGGTGTGTGCTGGCATGGCCTACCAAAATATACTTCAAGGTGTAGTATACAGTTTAAAAAGTTAAGGGGTTTTTTGACATGATGGTTAAGTCTTGATGAAATGACAGGTAAACTATAATGGTTATTCTTTAGTTCAGAGATCAGAATAGTGGCCCCTGTTAAACCATTGCACGGTTATTGCGTTATCAGCCATTAATAATGATGTAAGCAGAGCTGACGCCATCATCACTCCTGTATTATAGGTCAGCCTTGAAGGAACCACAGGCAGAGCTGTTTTCCTGGTAAAATTTGCTGAATCTGGAATTTTTGTCCTCTGAGTAAAGTAACAGCACCCCAGCCACACATCGCTTATTTGAGGAAGTGGGTGCCATAGTTTTACTTTTACTCTGATCACATTGGAGCAGTGTGATGAGCAACCTGCCAGGCTGCCTGCTGCCATTAGCCACTGACCTTGGCTTTTCCAGCTGCTGCACTTAGGAGGCCAACAGCATAATGAGGGCCTCTACAAACTAACTTTTCCCGTTTTAGAACAAAGGTAAATGTTTTGTGCTTTTTCAGAAGAGCAGGGTGACAGAAGGGGAAGACTGATCATCCTTCTACGTCTACCTCTAACTTCGTGCATCTACACTAGACACTTAATGCACAGAAGACTAATTCTACTGTGCATTAATGCAGCAGGCAAAGCATGTGCTAATGCACAGTAGATTTAGTCTAATGTGCATTAATGTCATTAAAAAAGTGTTAATCTATGCTACTGCGCGGTAGCACCAATTATGGGGCATTAAGTAGTACCTGTTATTACAGGTACTAACTAAACTTACATGCCATAATTAATAAACATGTGGATATACCCACTCAGCTTTGTTTCATAGTTTCTAGGGTCAGAAGGGACCTGAGCAGATCATCTAGTCCGACCTCCTGCCATGGCAGGAAAAAGTACAGGGGTCAAACGACCCCAGCAAGGTGTACATCTAGCCTCTTTTTAAAGACCCCCAGGGTAGGAGCCAGCACCACTTCGCTTGGAAGTTGGATCCAGGTCCTAGCCACCCTCACAGTGAAGCAAGCGCCTCCTAATGTCTAATCTGAATCTACCCTCTGCCAGTTTGTGACCATTAGTTCTAGTCACTCCTGGTAGTGCTCGGGGGAACAGGGACTCCCCCAGTGCCTGCTGGTC